AAACTTTTGGACATCCAGCAGCCCCATTCACCCCGTGACGAACACTCACTGGTCAATGTCAAATTGTGCACCCTTTTGAGGCCTCCTTAAAATGGATGAGTTGAGACATTCACAGCACTCCCTCTCGTATTCCACCCATCCTCTCGTATGGTGCAGATGGAAGCCACAAATGTTGACACTTCAAGCAGTGAGATCTTCTGCACAAATGAAAGTGAATTATGCTGCCTTCCACTTGATTACATACTACTCATTTGTACAATTAGGAGTGAGATGTAAAATTGGACTGCTCATCTGACTGGGTGTGCAGTAGCTATTCCTCCCTCATCTGCGGTTCTTCCACTCCGTCACATTACGCGGATTCCGGACTAGAAGTGGACCATGTATCATGCAAATTTATGTCATAAGTCAATATGCAATACCAAACAGCTCAGTGCAGACATCAATGACGAGGTGCGGTGACCATCAGTGCGTTTGTCCTGCCAATCCTTAACTGTTTCGTAACTTCTTTCCTTTCTGACAGCCAATGATTTATTTTCTGACACCGTACCCATCGCCTTCGAGCGCAACACGTGATGTTCCTCCTACAACTCGTCGCTTCTCACAGTACATAGAGTGTGTTCACATGCTTTGAGGAAGCAAAGGCAGAGATATGATGCACCACATTTTGAGAGACCCGTCAAGCAATCGCCGCAACCACCTCACTGGTTGACGCTTTTATTCGCGGTTCAAAGGAGTGCAGTGTGGTGGAACCTCCTTCACTTCACTTCTACTGAGATGGATGAGGCACCTCACTTGACATCGGACTTCCGCCTAACACATTCACATTTGTTTTCCAAGCTTGAATGCAGACGGGTCATCTGAGGATCCTTAATCGCAAACGCTAACTCGACCTCCACGTCAACAACGACCCTAAATTCTGCGTAGAGACCACAGCATACATCGCCCCTATAATATGCGGCCACCGCAATCAGCGGCACGACTTGCAGTGTAAATGAGTTGTTTCACTCCAATGTAGGCAGTGAGTATTCTGTGAAAGCTAACGCTAAGTCAGCCAAAGGATAGCACTCCATTGAGAGCAGAATAAACACGATGACGTGCACAGATGCCTGTGTCGCTTCTTCCTCATTCCAATCATAATGGCACTTTGCCAAATGTCAAAAATCGGACAGTTGTATTACGGGTGGCAGAATGTAATTCGCCTCACCTGTGCTGAAGGAGGGCAAAATGCAAAACACTCAGAATTTTTCCACCCGGCTCATTCAATCATAGCCTCTCAAGTAATCTCCACACGGACAGTAATGTACCCCAGTGTGCAAGAAACCCTTTTCGGTGTATACACAGACGTGTTCCTGGAAGAAATGACAAACTTAGAGGCACTGACACTTTCGAGAAGGTGGCAATGCTGAATGCTTCCATGTCCTACAACCACTAAGTTGGTGCAATTGCTTCGCCATATCTACGGCCAAAAGGCACTCTTGCAGAGCCTAACCGCGGGCAACAAAACGCTGTTCATGTCGTATGGGACCTCTGACTTTTGTTGTCAACACGCCACTCTGTGTATTATGAGGGATAACGGCTGCCACAAATGTTACATTGAAGCAATGGACTGATTTTCGCCATTTTCAGAGTAAACTAACACAAGGCATTCCATAATCGAAAGCAAAAACACCAAAGTAACAACAAACTTTGTGCATCATCAAAGTGAATAAAGTGGCTTTTGTTTTTCCGAGACTCATGGGAGTTGCAGTATGTTAGATAAGGAAAGGATCTCCTGCAGTTGTCCACCCATAACCGCGAAAGCTTTCAACAACTACTACATAAAGTAGCTCGACACCCACATCCCATCCGGCAGGGCCTTATTTCGAACCTGAAGATGTCATCTCTTCTGCAAATCAGTCCGAGTTACATTTGCCAACACTGCCAGTGTGGGTTTGGTGTTTTTCGCTCTGTAGTGCACCTCTCTTAAGGGCGATTGTGTGGATCACGCATCCACCCACACTGCCACAACAGCATGAAGGAGTTCTTGAGAGACCAAGCAAATTTGAGACATGGGCTATAAATATGAACCAGGTCAAAATGTCACAGCGCCTGCGTTAGTAAATTTGGCATTATCAAAATCTAACTACAGCTGTAAAACATGAGAAGGAGCGGTCTGGATACCGGCATTCCTGCATGTGCTGAAAACGTTGGAGACAAATGTAATGCACACACAGCAGTCGGTTCTTCTACTTGTCAAA